ACAGCCTACAGTATTTTTACAGTCTTTATTTTACAGTTAAAATAAATGTTTATTAAATAAAGTTTAATGTTACAACTAATCATGGATCCCTTTAAAATCTACAAACTAAAGTTTGTTGGTTCTGACAGAATGAAGTGTTTTAGGTTCTGGTTCTGGTTCTGGTGGGACAGGCAGGTGGACGTTCTGCTGCCATAATGAGGCGTTCGGGTTCAGCCTGTAATTTAGGCGCTCTGTGTGGGAAGTCCCAGTGAAGAATGTCTGAGGACAAAGCGTCCAGTGTGTCCGTCCCTCTGTCCACAGGAGGGAGGTGGACCGACCCCTCGGCCCCCGGTGGAACGCCAGGGGCCGGGGGGATTCCCACCCAGATCAGCAGGGGTCCTGACCTGGTTTCAGACCAGAACCAGGAGGCTTCTAGTCAGACTTTAGTGTCTCTGATGAGTTTATTGATGTGCTGAAGGACCGTTAGACCCCGCCCCCCCCACATTCAGAGTCATTGTCCCACCCTCTTTATACCCCCCCACTCCCCCGTGAGCCCCCGACAGTCAGGGAGGAGGTCATTTATATGTTAATCTGCCAGCACAAACAGAACTCAAACAACCAGTTTAAACTGGGTTCATCCTGGGTCAGAGTCCGGTTCTGTCCAACTGGAGTTCTGCTGGGTTCTGTTTGGGTTCAGACTGGTTTCTGGTTTCATTCTGGCTTTGTAAAAGGTTCTGATTGGGTTTTACCTGGTGTTATTCTGGGTTCAAACTGAGTTGGAACCAGTAATTCTGGATATTTGGGTTGTGCCACTGGTTCTGTTGGTTGAAGAACCGGACCTGTTCAGGGTTCTGGTTCTGACTGTTGTTCTCTGAGTTGTTGTCTGGACATCAGAGCTTCGTCCTCCTCCTCTTCCTCACTTGTTGTGTGTTTTCTCAGCGCCTCAGATGTAATTTTAGTTCTGGGCTCGGTCTAATTACAGTGTTGAGTGGCTGCTCTGCTGTTAGCCTGCAGCTGCACATCACAACACCAGCCTCCTCCTCCTCCTCCTCCTCC